GCGCTTTAGGGACAATCTAGTGACATTTTAAAGACTGTAAGCCTCCATGTGATAACCTCCTTTGACTCAATCTACCGTACATTTAAATTATTCCTTTCATTTGTCCATTGTGCTGAAATTAGGTGGGAGGAAACCTTTCAACATTTGCACTGTGTCTCAAGCAGTCCATTGCCTAACACTTTTGCTGTCCTTTTCCCCACTGAGAAACAAACATGCCCTGAGCTCTGGGCGCAAGTCTTGTCTCTTGTTGCTCCTAGGAAAAAAAGAAATTTAGAAGGAGCCATCCTATCCCTCTATTTGCAGCAAAGACAGGCTGTCAACTAGATGCATTTCTGGAAGGGGAACAGCAAATGTAGTGTTACTCGTTGGGTTTCTTAGGAGGGGCTGCAGATGGGCGGCTCTGGGCCTCCCTGGGAAGCTGTGGATTGGGGCCGCGACTAGCCCATGCCATGGCCCCAATTCTCCCTTTTACCACCCCGAAAAGAGCAGCAACATGTTGCTCCTTTCAGGAGTGGCGAAAGGGTGCCTTAAGAGCCAGCACGTGGCTCTTTCTCGTCTCTTCTGGTGCAACGCGTCAGGACACTGCGCTGGGAGGACATCATGATGCTGCGCGCTGTGTGTAACAGCGCATGGCATCAGGACGACGTCGGCGTGGGGTTGGGGTGGCCAGCGTGTGGCTGCCCTGCCCCATCTCTGCCTCCCTTTGGGCTGGTCTGCAGAGGCCCATAGTCATGCTCAAAATGGAGGACACTTTGGAATTCGTCCTGGACATAAAGTTGAAATGTAGGATGTATGGAAAAGGAGGACATCTTCTCACCTTGCCAAAACCCAGCTGTGGAAGTACTCAGCCCCTTTGCAGTAAGATTTCCCTTATCGTATAGGATCCCACTGTTTCAACAGCAGAAGACCACTACTGCATCTGCCCATTACTGATAATTCATGACAAGAAAAATGGAACTTCTAGCAACAATCACACCTTCACACTTTAGAGACGATCTAGCAATGTTTTAAGGATGGTAAGTCTCCGTGTGATAATCTTCAAAGGTTTGTTGCTAGAAAAATGGAACATGAAATGACCTGTTTATAAAATGCTTGCCGCTCAGCTGGCTATGTAAATGTATGATTATAGACTACAAAAGTATGACTATACACCAGATTATAATTAGTAAGTAAAACGTTGTTAGTCCACATTAAGGTATAAAAGCTCTCATTATTGGCAATGCCCGTTATTTACCCATCAGTTCATCCAAAATGATATCTGCTTTAGGCATTACATCCGAGGGTGTCAGACAGCCTGGATGTGGACAGACTCCAAGAGAGTGAGCAGGTGGTAGCTGTTCATGATCACAGTGAGAAGCTGCTGGTGAAAACCAAGCCAGATATGTCCTACCAGGCTTGCATGCTTTTGACCTTCTGTGCTAAGGAAGGAAATTAGGTAGCAAAGAGCAAATTTACAGCATAAAATGCACTTCATGCAAGGATTTCCCCAAGGAAGGGGTGTAAGATAACAATCCTCCCGGGCTCTAAAAATGAGACTGAACTTCCATGTAAAGCTTTTGATGCAAAACAATACCATATTTATTAAAAGCAGGACTCAGTCATGAAGCTTTGAAGTGCACAAAGACTTCTGCTATAGTTCCACAAGAAAGTGTTGCCGCCTGGTATAGTGAGTGCATGCTGGGCAAAGGCCGCTTGTAGTTTCAGCATCAAACCTCTGAGTGATTTGGAGAAGTAGACCAAATTTTGGGGCTTTGCAGACCAGCCTGGGGTGGTAGTTGGGGCAAGGCAGCCGCACTCCACCCCAACGCCGTCCTGATGCAGCGTGCACACACGCTGTGCCAAAAGGGCATGAAAAAGCCACCACCGCAGCTGAAAGGGTGGCCTTTTGTTGCTCTTTCGGGGGCGGGAAAAGGGAGGATTGGGGCCGCGGTATGCAGTTGCTGTGGCCCTGGTCCGCTGCTCCCAGGGGCAGCTCTGTGCCGCCCCTTTAGGCGGGTTTGGGGGGGATAAACTCTACTAAACTCTACTCTACTAAACTCTATGTGCTGCCAAGTTGAGCCTGACGTATGGCAATTGTGGGGCGTTCTTTTCCCCTCACAGGGTATTTTTGGCAAGAGAGTACAAATAGTAGCTTTGGTTGCCTTGGTGAATGGCCTACACTGGGAATTGGATGGAGGAGCATGTCCCTGTTGGTTCTGCTGGATATCTCAGTGGTTTTTGATACCATTGGTCATGGTATTCTTTTGGGCTGTCCCTCTGGAGCAAGAGTTAGAAGCATTTTTTATATACAGTTGGCTCTTCATATCCACAGGGCTTCTGTTCCAGACCCCCACCCCCACAGAGACCAAACAACGCAGGACCTCAGGTCCCATTATCCCCAGTGGTGGTGTGATGTGTGTGACACACTGTGTGGCCAGGTGCATGTGCTGCCACTGGGGAGAATGGGTCTGGGCCATCCATGGATGCTCCAATTTGCCAATGGCATACCTGCAGTTGGGAAGGGCCAACTGTATATATAGTGGCTTCAGTCTTTCCTAGAGGGGTGCACTTAGAAGATGGTGCCAAAGAACTTCTGTTCAGCATCCTGGTCATTGGTCTGTGATTTTCCTTGGGGTTCAGTTCTGTCCCCCAGATTTTGGAAACTGCTCAGAAACTTTAGCACAGGGGTCGGCAACATTTTCTTACCTGGGTCGGGTAAGGTCTTCCTCCAGTCTTCCACAGGGGGGCGGAAATGGCGCTGCGCATGCGCGCATTCGCTCACACATGTGCAGTACTTCCGAAGTACAGTGCATGCACAAGCGCGTCGTGGCCGCCATATTGGAAAACAAAATGGCGGCTGCGACTCGCTCACGCATGCTCAGTACTCGGCACATGCACAAATGAGTCACGGCCGCCATTTTGAAAAACAAAATGGTGGCCGCGATGCATACAGCGGCAGTCGATGGCGGCGGCAGGACCGGCCTGGGCCAGTCCAAAGGCCTTGGGGGGCTGAATCCGGCCCCCCGGGCCGTAGGTTGCCGACCTCTGCTTTAGCAGGTTCACTGTGGCTAGACTGCTAACTGGGACTCATTACAGGGAACATATTACAGGGCAAATATTATTACAACTTTCAAACATGGCTTTGTCTTGCATTCTGGAGGCACTCTGTTGAATGAACACACTAGTAGAAAAACCTAATAGGTATATGCCACTACTTCCATGATGCTCTGGACTGTGTTTAAGTTTTGATTGTCCATTGTATTCATTCCTTATGCAGAAGTCAGCTGTAGCTGAGCAGCTCTGCTTGTTTTTAAGCCTTAATAAAGCCATGCAGCGTTTGATTAGTGAAGGCTTATGGCTGTGCCACCCAAAGTTAGAAGTCTGTGGATTGGTGCCAGTCTGGCATCCATTGGCTGCTACTCTGCAGCAAGAGTCCAGGAAAGAAAGAAACAGTAGTAGCCAGTCAAAATACTGTAAAAGTCTCTGATACAAAGGACAGCAGGGAGAACACATGCCAATTCTCGACATCAGGTAACTGAAGAAGTGCTGGTTTACAGGATTTTTTGCCTGAGGTTGCCCAAGTTATTTTGCTGCCCAAGGCATAGCAGGAAGTAACATGCACGCATCCCTTATATGCTCAATACAATAATGAATAAAACTTTATTGCCTTTCTATGACACACAAAAACTGTGCTATCTGCAGCAGCTACTTCACTTGCTGAATGATAGGATCAGCCTTGAGTTTGCCAGGGAAATATACAGT